TTTTAGTGTTAATAGAAATAAATATTAACTATTTTGAACTTACCAATAAATATACACTATATACACTCTATACCACTATAACACTGCAACAAAAAAAACGTATTTTGTGATTTTTTCATAATGGCTTTAGTTTTCTGGATATTATGTTTTTAAATTAAAATAATTTTGAAAATTTCAAAAAAATGGACACATTGAAATTAATTTGTATTAAATGTGTATACCTACATCAATTACAATTTTTTTATTTAAAAAATAATCAAAATTAAAAATATACTTAATACAAAATTAGAGCCAATATGAAAAAATCCCGAAACATGTTTTGTGCACGTATTAATTTTTTTTTCTTTTTTTTTCTTCGGGTCCCAACCCAGGATATTTATTTTTCATCAAATTTTGTCGCACAGTTTCATAAATTAATTTAACAGAATAAATAACCAACAAAATGCACAAGATATATCTCGTATACGATAGGAAATACTGCGCGAATGACATGAAGCAGAAATGACATAAAATTACAAAAGCATAAATAAATGCATAGCCAACTACATAAAAAAATAATTAATAATTTAAGCATAAATGCATAGCCGACTACATAGAAAAATAATATTGGGGAGTTGCTTTCAGTATTGTTTGGTATTCATTCCCAAACTTTTAGTATTGAATAGAACATACTAATTAATATTGTAATGTATTATTTACTAAATTATGACCAATAACTATAAAATAAAATATCAATCCTTAATATTTAGAATTCATTACTTTAAACAATCAATGCCTACACCTCGGAATATTTATATTTATTTATAAAGTATTCACTTTAAAAGTTTAAATAAAAAACATTTTTTTTGGGGATTTACCAAAAGGAAATTCGCTGATGAATGACATTGCCGCGCCAGTTCCTCAGCCGACACTTTTAATTAAAATAATTTGTAAATAATATTTAAAATTAAAAAAATTCTGTTAAGAACAAAAGAATATTTTTTTCCAAAAAGTTGGTCGGTTTTTGGGCAAGTTTAAATCAATAATCCTAACTAACATTTATTTTTATAAATTGTTTTTTATTACTGTTTAGGCATTTATTTTGAGATTTTTGTTATTAAATTTATTTCAAAATCTAAATTTACACCCAAGAATATAAATAAACTATGGTTTAAAATATTACAAAAAAAACGTATAGGTAAAACCTACACGGAAAAAAATCTATACTGATTCCAAGAAAATTCAACTCTATCCAAGTATAGCTTAGTTTCCCTATTCCGCAAGTAAATTTATACTTGTTTCAAGTATCCTCATATTCTTATAAAATAAAGATAGCTTCGGTTTAATCTAAGATTACTGCTATACTAAAAATAAGAAACACACTAATATTGAGTTAAGTATACAAATTTGTCTTCAATGAAGACTACGGTATTCTTGTTGTAACGTTAGTATGTACTTCATCAAAGTATAGTTTCTTTGTAAAATCTTTACAGTATTCTTGTTTTAAGAATATACTTTCTTTAAAATTTATTTATTTATACTTATTGTAAGTACACGCTTTACTTGCATAAAATGCTTGTATTCTTACTTTTCCTTTTTTTATATTTGATAAAAGTATAGTATATATTTAAAATAACTTTACACTCTTCTTAAAGAAAGTGGTTGATTGGAAAAAAAAATTCCCTCGTCTAGCGACTCGGAATAATTTTTACAAAAAAAAAACATTCGTGACCCTGAAAAATATTTGTATTAATTATCCTACCACTACGGAAAATACAAGTGAAAGTGAAAATATATTCGTTATGACAGTAATTTAACAGTATTTTTGGCAGATTATTTGAATTATTTTAATGTACTAAAGTACTAAGTATAACACCGTACAACACAAAATTGCCCGCATCGATGAAACTTGAAAAATCGGATAGAAGACGATAAAAAAAAGACTCGTGTATCGGCGATTTTTTTGTACACGTCAAATTTTTTTTTTATTTGGTTTTGAAACACAAAATTTAAAGATAATTCGTAGAAAGTTTCCATACTAAATATTAATGTTATTTTTTTTTATTCAAGCTTACATAATCATAAAGCTGTAACTACTTTATTATTACGTCCATAAAATTTTAATACTCAAAAGTAAAAAAAAAACAATACTACCTTATAAATTGTTTTAACGCTGAATACAATTAAACAAAATGTCTGATATTATTTAGTTTAATAAAAATATTTGATACAACCCAATTATTTTTCAAATTTTGGCCTTTTTTTTTTTTTTTAGTAAATTTGTTGCCGTTTCACGACAGTGACCAACAGTATTCACCGAGCATGTGCACCAAATTTTTACCTTTAAATCTAGTTTCGGTTAAAGCTATGTCTTGGTGGAATCTTTCTCCATGTTCATCACTGTAATCACCCATATTATTTTTGAAAAAATCTAGAAGATTATGCAAAAAATAAATTTTTAATGACATTAATACTCCCATATTGCCATACGCAGAGAGAGATCATTTTTTGCACAATTTCTATATAATTAGCAGCTCGATTGTTACCAAGAAAGTTTTCAAAGACATTAACAGCAGATGTCCAAGCTTCTTTTTCAACTGGGTTTACAGATTCAACTTCAATGGGATTACAGATTCAACTTCAACGTAGGCGATTTTTTCGCGGTGTTCATATTTATAACCAAAGCTCCTTGTTTCGTTCAGACAAAAGTAACAGAATTCCGGAGAATGCTCTGTACGGGGTAACCAAATAGTAGGTATTTGGTATTTACTACCGGGTTGTTTGTCATTATTTTTACATAATGACCTATAGCAGTACGTGCATACCACTTCGGGAGCGTACCATAAGTACGGAACGTAATTGGTTTTAAACTGTCGCTGAAACGAAAGAACTAAGGTTTTGGTTATATTACGAACATGTTTCACAGTTACATATAAACCACAAACATAACAAAATTTATTGCGATTAGGACACTCCATTTTAATTCTCAACGAACAAAACTATAAAAGGTGCAGTTTAATAAAAATCGTACTTTTATATGCGTTTAGAATTTAGAATCTAAGTTTTAGATTAACAAACCCACAGTGTATATACAAAAAAACAAAATTGTTTTTACGTTTAAACGTTGTTTTTAACCAAGAATACATAAATGCTCAAAATAATAGTTATCATACGAATTTTTAAGATTTATTTTTTAATTTTTCCTTTAATCTTTTGAATTACCAATTTTACATATTCCCTGTACATTATATAACATTTTTCCTAATTTTTAATACCTTTTCAATAATATGGTTCACAGCAAAATTGGTATATTTTGTTTAAAAACAAAACATATTAAATGCTCGTAATTAAAAACTTTAAAGTGAAAAAAAAAATTTTTTTGACGTGTACAAAAAAATCGCCGATACACGGGTCTTTTTTTTTTATCGTCTTCTATCCGATTTTTCAAGTTTCATCGATGCGGGCAATTTTGTGTTGTACGGTGTAATAGGTACTGATATCACAATAGGTTTATTACCTAACAGTCTTAGAGGTATTAGAAAAAGTACTGTCAATTTATATAAATTCATTCTTTCACGGTTAATTAGCATAGATACTATATTTTACATTTTATTTTTTTAAGTACCTAGGTATCACATTTTTGGTTCTATATGTAAAGGTAAGGTTTTTAATCACAATACTTAGTTATTATTTTTTTAAGTAGGTATTTTTATTGTCAGTAAAATTTATCTCCATGGAGATAAATTTTACAAATTATTTAGCTGCAGCTAAATAATTTGTAAAATGAGTCTCTAAGAAGGCTACCATTATCATCGTAGATGGTTTGGTGTTAATTCTTCAATTTTTTCTCTAACCTTGATCCTCAATCCTATTTTTGGAATTAATTCCTTTAAATTCTCCTCGCTTAGGTTTACCGTAATATCGAGATCTATCTCGTTTTCTAAAACAAAAATAATATAGCTGAATTGGAGGCTATTGCCTTTCTGCTGTTTATGTGCTATTGTCCATTACCTGTCGTATGCTACACTACAGTATATATACCTATCCATTTTACACTACATTTTTACGAGCTTGGCTAGTTAATTACTTTAAATTAATAAAATATTATTTACTTACCCAAAAATGTGTCTAGTAAACATTCTGCCCCAATTTTTAAGTTTCTTCTCCATTATTTTTTATTAAAAATAACATCCAAGCCGAAAAAGGAAAAAACGAACACACGCTACCACAATAGAACACAGGACAGAACTGAACACAGAAACTGCGTCTTTTCTTTTAGCGAAGCGGTCTTAGAGGGTGGACGGAATTTACTTAAGCGAAGAATTAGGTATTTGTTTTAATAATGGCTATACTTAAATACAGTATAGTGTATTCTTTGTTCTAGAGGTCTTATACTTAAATTGAAGTATAAGCGTTCTTGTATTAAATATACATACATATAAATAAATAATAATAAATTTAAATAAAGTATACCGAAATTTCATACAAATATACAGATTACTTAAAATAAGTGGCAATATTCCGCTTTGAGTAAAAACTAGAGCTCTTTCATCTAAGCATTATTGTATATTTGATTTAAGTATACCAATTTTCTTTAAAATAAAATACCTTTAAACTCAATCCAAGAATACTCATCTCAAATCAAGTAACAGTTTTTCTTAAAAATTAAGTATATCCCATTACTTAGTTTAAATGTACGCTAATCTCATAGAAATAATAAATATACTTAAATCAAGTTCCTAACATGAAGTATAGAACTATTCTTAAACCTAGTAAGGGATTTTTTTCCGTGTACATATTTGTTGTGCCAATTTTAATGTATTTAAATTAAATTAAACATTTAAAAAATAAATACTGTAAAATTTCTAATTTCTAATAGCTGATAATTGCTAATTACGCATTTCAATTCCCAGTAGATATCTTTTTTGTAGACAACAATGAACCATTACCAAAATGATTATTTATTGGTGTTGTAAAATTTCTTATAAACATTTAAATATCATGTTTATTTAACATTTTAGGTGACAGCTGTTGCTTTTCCTTCAGCTTGGGAGCATTTAAAAACAGACTCACGCAACAGCTTCCAGGCGTCTATGTTTTATCGTTAAGAATAGGATCATCTATGGTAAATGACGTTGAAAATGGATATTTTATGCATCCCAATAAACAAGTCGAAGAGGCCTGTGAAACGATCAAAAACGATCCGAAGTTGAGTGATGGATTTAACGCTGTCGGATTCTCGCAAGGATCTCAATTTCTGTTAGTAGTAATAATATAATCTTAAATTATTTGGTTTAAGTAAAGAATAAGGTGCACCATGAGTAAACAGTTAAAATATTGGTTGAAAACTGTATGGCAATATTGGTCAAATTTAGGAAAAGCTTTCGTAAAGCAATCCAAACATTATAATTTCATTTCATTTCAATATTTAATTTGATGGTTAAAATAATAATGAAATTATCCACTAACGTCTAGGGAAGGACGGTCACAAAAGTCCGCAAAATTGGGACATGCATATTGATGAAGGGGGAGGGACTATCGCAGCATTCATAGAAAATATAATGTGTGGAATAAAATATGAATTTATTTATGATAGAGCAATATGTTTAGTGTGACATCGTATAAATTTAATTTGGCAATAATAGTATACTGTTTGACTAGTGGGAGAAAGAGGAAATTTCTGAGCGTGGAGTTTACAGGTGACACGCGAGTGGAATCTCCTTTTTTGACCAATAGTCGCAAACAATATTTTATTCCACTACCACAAGACATTTTTATTTGATATTTTACCTAACATCAAGCAGCTGCCAAGCAGTCTTAACCTTACTTTTATCAAAAATTTTGCCCACCGCACAGTGTTTCAATTCTCTCAAATTTCGGCAAAATATCAAGGAGTAGTCGGATTCTCCTAAAAATCCGTATAAAGAGGTTTTTGGGGTCGCTGATAACGAATCTGGAAGAGAATTCCAAAATTCAAAATGGTAGATCCAAAATGGCGGACATATTTGTCAAAAAATTGACGGAATAAATTGAAAATCACCATACAGGGGTTTTTGTGGTCGCTGATAATGAATCTGGAATCATAATTACAAAATTCAAAATGGTGGACCTCAAATGGCGGACATTTTTATAAAAAAAATGTCGAAATTAATTAAAAACCCGTAAATTTCAAATTTTATTTATAAAATTTAAATATACCCAACAGATTTTATACTAAGTATTTTAAATTTTTATTATTTCTTTTACTTAATAGGTATTTAAGCAACGATTTCTTAATTCGCTAAAAAAATTGTCAACACAAATAACCACATTTCAAATTTGACATAAACACACTACAATGCGCATGCGGAGTTGTTTTAACGCACCTACAAGAGGTGGGTTAAATATGTAAAATCGGTGTTAAATATCTTAGTAGTCACGAACGATTTACGCAAGTGAAAGTCTAGACACCGCTGTTGTAATAAACGTTTTGAGTTAAATCCGAGTGAATCGAGAAAACGTCATGAACGCAACCCAGAATTTAAAAAAAATCTTATATTTTGTATAGCTAAAACACAGATACGCGCGCGACATAGACTTAAAATCGCGAGGTTTTTTGCCACAACCGTGCCTGAGCGCCCAAGAACATGTAGAGCCGGGGGCGAGTTGGGGCAGATCATTTATTGATGGCTTGATAGACAAAACTATAAGCTATTCAACGGATCTTGAACTGATGCCTTACAATTTATTACAATTTTTGTAGCTCCATTGTTCTAAAAGCTCGATTCAAAGTTTGCGATTTTAATAGACAGACCTTGTCGGTTACAATAACCCGTTGTACAAGCAAAATCTACGAAAAACAAATACATATCTAAATTTTACATACCTTGAAGATCACCCTTCATCAAACCGCATAACAATCGGACACACCAAACACAAGTTATTCACTTTTAAACAATTAACAATTTTCCGCAGCGATCGCGTGTAAAGTACCTTCAACTGAAAGCGTCAAGTTTAAACTGATGTACAAGACAAAATATACGTATTTTATATAATTTTTTTTTTCAATACAGGATGGAGACAGGTATTAACTACCCATCTAACTCAAAATTTACCTGCAAAATTTTTTTTGAACTTTTGCCGATATTTTCGAGAATTAAAACACACATACACAACATACCAGTGTTGCATACTCTTGGACGTCAAGCGCTATATTTTTGTCGTTTTTAGTCGTGCCCTGGTGCAAAGATGCAGCGCTGCAAAAGTAAAAAACCTCATTTCTTTGGGAGGACAACATCAAGGTGTATATGGACTACCTAACTGTGGTTCTTTATCCCACCCCACGTGTGATTATTTTAGACGTTTGTTAAATCATGCTGCTTATAACAGGTTAAAAAATAAATTCAAAATTTTATTATAAAAATAAATATTATTTTTTAGTTTTGTTCAGAAACGATTGGTTCAAGCTACATACTGGCACGATCCTCTGAACGAAGATCTTTACAAAAAGTCCAGCACCTTTTTGTCAGACATTAATAACGAATTAACCGTGAATGAATCATATAAGGAAAACATTCTCAAATTGGACAATTTTGTAATGGTTTTGTTTGAAAATGACACAATGGTACAACCTGTCGAAAGCGAATTCTTCGGATTTTACAAACCTGGGCAATCTGTCGAGTTGGTAAATTTGACGAATTCACAACTTTATAACGAAGTAAGTATTTTAGCTTTAGTAGTAACTTTTAATCACCTATTTAAATGTTATGTGTATTATTAGTAACAATTATTTAGAAAATATATATCTTTACGTAAAACCTCTTGCACTCGCTCACAGTTTTCTGGTCTTACGAATGCCTCTTCCCCTTTTGGCGTTTTGTTACCCTTTTGCCCAAATTTCCGTACCCAACTCTCTAAAAATGAATTAGTCAAAAATGACTAATTTAATAGTTATTAGTGGCTTTTTCACTTGTACCCTGGTTAACAGTTAACATGGTTAACAGTTACTGTTATGTATGAAGGTAGACTATGAAGATAACAACCAAAAAGTACAACCATAGCGACCTGCAACTGTTATAAATAAATAAAATGAAATAAATAAGTTGTCAATTGAATATATAAAAATTTTCTGTAACGTTTTAATTACGAATAAACTTTCTTAACATACTGGGTGTTTCTTTTAACTTGAGACAGCTCAATATCTCGAGAAATACGCATTTCACGGAAAAATGTGTTAAATAAAAGGTTAATGTGACTAAAGGGGACATTATTTGTTGCTACCGCTAGCCACCCCCTACCTCTCCTTAAGGGTGAAACGGGGGGTAACTTTGGAAAGTAAAATGGAATGACCCGATTTTTTTCACAGAGTTTGGTAGTACATAAAAAAATAAATAACTTTTATTTAAAAGTTTTTTCAATTTATCAACAGATGGCGCTGTAATTCAAAATTTAAGAAAAATGAGTTTCCTTGTAAAATGTATTATTTGAAACGTTTGAAAAACAAAAATTAACATTAACAACAATAGTCGGCTATGAAAACAATTTATAACAAATGTTCGAAATGTCGTCATTCCATTTCAACACATTTTTGAATGCGGGTAATGAATTCTGGCACACAACGCGCCAACATATCGGGCGGTATCGCCGCACAGGCGTTCCTGATCCGCTCCACCATGTCCTCCCAAGTTGTAGGAATTGCAGCGTAAACTTTTTCTTTCAAGTAACCCCACTGGAAGAAGTCTGGTGGCGTAAGATCAGGTGATCGAGCAGGCCAAATTACTGGACCACGTCTACCGATCCACCGCGGTGCACCGGCCATTGAACTCCCGATCCAACACCTCTCGAGCAATTGTCGAATAATGTGCAGGACAACCATCTTGCTGGTACCACATGTTTTGGAGCCGTGCTAGTGGTACATTCTCCAAAAGGTCCGTCAGATCGTTTTCTAGAAAATTCCGGTACTTTTCGCCATTTAATGCACCGTCAATAAAGAAGGGTCCGATTAATCGTTCGCTTAAGGTACCGCACCAAACGTTTACCGACCAGGGACGCTGGTGCTCCACTTGGTGTCGAAATGGAAGGACGACATTTCGAACATTTGATTTAAATTGTTTTCAGAGCCGACTATTGTTGATTTAATGTTAATTTTTGTTTTTCAAACGTTTCAAATAATACATTTTACAAGGAAACCCCTTTTTCTTAAATTTTGAATTACAGCGCCATCTGTTGATAAATTGAAAAAAACTTTCAAATAAACGTTATTCATTTTTTTATGTACTACCAAACTCTGTGAAAAAAATCGGGTCATTCCATTTGACTTTCCAAAGTTACCCCCAGTTTCACCCTTAAGGAGGGGTAGGGGGTGGCTAGCGGTAGCACCAAATAATGTCCCCTTTGGTCACATTAACCTTTTATTTAAGACATTTTTTCGTGAAATGCGTATTTCTCGAGATATTGATCTGTCTCAAGTTAAAAGAAACACCCTGTATATAATATTTTTCTGTGAAGTATTGGTTCGCCTCTGCACTCTACATTCCTAAAAGGTTATGGGCCCAGGAAACGTAAAGTACTAAGAATAATTTTAACAGAAAAATTAGAAATAAAGTGAATCATGAATTTTGGAAATGGATCACGAATTGAAATGTTGAACAAAGATAATTTCGATACATGGAAATTACACATGGAAGCTTTATTAATTAAAAATAATGCCTGGGATTATGTAATTGATAAAGATGAAAATAAAATGAAATTGACAAAATGGATAAATTATGACAGAAAAGCAAAATCTGACATAATATTGTGTATCAGTTCTGCTGAATTAAAGCAAATAAAAGGATGTGTTACTTTCCGTGAAGTTTGGTTGAAATTAGAAAGTATTTATCAATCTAATGGTCCTGCTCGTAAAGCAACATTTTTAAAGCAACTTATATTACAACGTATGGAAAAAAATAGTGATATACGTGAACATATTAATAAATTTTTTGATGCTGTTGATAAACTAGAAGAAATGGGTTTAGAAATTATTCCAGATTTATTATCAATCATGTTACTATATAGTTTACCTGAAAGTTTTGAGAATTTTAGATGTGCTATAGAATCTCGAGATGAATTACCAATACCCGATAGTCTACGTGTTAAAATTATTGAAGAACACGACGCTAGAAAAAACGAATCTAGAGATTATCAACAAAATGTCATGTTTGCAAAGAAAAAGCCATTTTATAAACAAAAGAACAAAAATATGTCAGAAAATACCGAATCTGCCAAAGAATTCCAAGAGACAGGAAAATTTAAATATCGGTCATTATTGTAGAAAATTTGGACATAAATTAGCCGATTGTAAATTTAAAAAGAAAAATCAGGTATGCTGACGAAAATGATTTTAGTTTTATTGGTGAATCTGAATTTTGCTCTGATGCATATCAAGCAGAAGTAAACGGTATTGAAAATAAAAGATGGTGTTTAGATAGTGGTGCAACCTCACATTTTTGCAAGAATATTATTGATTTTCATGAAATAATTAATTCCAATAAAGGGAAACTAAATTTAGCAAGCAATGTGTCTACAGAGATAGAAGCTAAGGGACAAGTATTACTTAATGTTGAGATTGACAAAAACAATTCACAAATTAAGCTTAACGATGTTCTTCATGTACCTGATCTACGAACTAACTTACTCTCAGTTGGAAAAATAACCAAGAAAGGTTATGAAGTTTTATTTCAAAAAGAAAAAGCTTTGGTTTTTGATTTAAATGGTCAAGTGAAAATAGTTGCAAAAAGAATAGGTGAATTATACTATGTACAAGAGAATAATGAGACATGTAAATTGACTTGGTGAACTTGATGAAACAATATACATGGAGATACCTAAACAATGCAGGGATATCTTAGAAAACATTATACACAGTGGATCAGGAGATGATATTAAAAGAGCGAGAGAAATGCTCGGAAAACTGAAAATGGAAAATAAAGTTTGTTTGTTGAAAAAGTCACTATATGGGTTGAAGCAAGCTTGAAGAAGTTGGAATCGAAAACTTGATCAAATACTAAAAGAATGTAATGCCTACTACAGCAGATCCTTGTGTTTACTACATAAACAGAGGTGAGGGGAAGATATTATACTAATTACAGTTTATGTAGATGATATTTTAATTGTCGACAAAAATCATGAAGCTATAAAAGATCTTAAGGCTAAGATTGCCAAGAATTTTGAAATTAAAGATATGGGACAAGCTAAATTTTGCCTTGGAGTGGATTTCGAATATGCTAAAAATAGTATAATTTTAACACAAAAAGGATATATAAGAGATATCTTAGAATGCTTCAACATGTCGATGTGTAATACTGTTGGCACTCCTTTAGATCCAAATGTCAAATTGTGCAAACCAATGGAACTAACGACAGAAGAAGAACAAAGGCTACCATTTCGAGAGTTAATCGGAGCTTTAACATATTTATCTGTAACAACCAAAGAGATATCTTAGAATGCTTCAACATGTCGATGTGTAATACTGTTGGCACTCCTTTAGATCCAAATGTCAAATTGTGCAAACCAATGGAACTAACGACAGAAGAAGAACAAAGGCTACCATTTCGAGAGTTAATCGGAGCTTTAACATATTTATCTGTAACAACCAAACCAGATATTAGTTTTGCAGTAAGTTATCTTGCTCAATTTAATAATTGCTATGAAAAAACTCATTGGTCAGCAGCTAAACGTGTTCTTCGTTATTTGAAAGGCACAATGAACATGGGACTTGTTTACTCTCCAAATAAAATTAATATGCAAGGTTTTGTCGATGCTGATTGGGGAAATTGTATAGATGATAGGAGATCTTATACAGGATATGTATTTTTATTGTCTAGAAGTCCAATATCCTGGGATTCCAAAAAGCAACGAACTGTTGCATTGTCATCTACAGAAGCCGAATATATGGGATTGACAGTGGCAAAAAAAGCAATATATCTTCAAAATTTTATTTTGGAACTTGGATTTAAAAGCATGAAGCATATTATGTTATTTAACGATAATTTAAGTGCCTTAAAATTGGCTGAAAATCCAGTGTTTCATGCCATAAGCAAACATATTGATATCAAATATCACTTTATTCGAGAAGTTATAATAAATAAACAACTACAACTCGAACATATTTCTACAGAAAAAATGGTTGCAGATATACTAACAAAAGGTTTATGTAAATCAAAACCTTTAATTGGTATTGAATTAATGGGTCTGAAATTATTAGAGAAATCAAATAAACAGCAGCAGTTCGAGGGGAAGTGTTATGTATGAAGGTAGACTATGAAGATAACAACCAAAAAGTACAACCATAGCGACCTGTAACTGTTATAAATAAATAAAATGAAATAAATAAGTTGTCAATTGAATATATAAAAATATTCTGTAACGTTTTAATTACGAATAAACTTTCTTACCATGGTATTCCATGGTTAATGTTAGGAATGTAGAGTGCAGAGGCGAACCAATACAATACTAATATTTTTCTGTGAAGTATTGGTTCGCCTCTGCACTCTACATTCCTAACATTAATCATGGAATACCATGGTATCCCAAAATTTAACAGCCAATTCTTATGTAAAATTGTCCCCTGAAATACCGTCAAAAATTATGAAAGTGGATCGGTTTTTGAGATATAGTCAATTCCATATTAAATGAAAAATTGACTATATCTCAAAAACTGTTTTACTTTTTTAACTTTTGGATTCAGGGGACAATTTTACATACAAATTGGTTGTTCAATTTTGGGATACTATTGTATTCCATGGTTAACCATGGTACAAGTGAAAAAGCAGCCACTAATAACTATTAATATAGTCATTTTTTACTAATTCATTTTTAGAGAGAAAAGTTATTTAACTTTACTGCTAAGGCCCGATTGATGTGTCGTAAGCCAAGAAAAATCTCCGCGCGGTGATCAAAGAATTATTTTTGTAAAAGGCTTTTACGTAAAGCGATCCATCAACTGATTTCTGGGACAAATTTAAAATGTGCGTTTGATATTTTGTATAAAACATTAACAATATTGCTAATATATTAATTCTAAAAACATATTTTTTAGGATCGTTTGGGTTTACGTGAACTAGATAACAAAGGTGGCTTACATTTTCTTGCATTACCTGGAAACCATCTTGAATTTGAGTGGCCATGGTTTATAAAAATGATAATGGAACCATATCTAAAAAACTAACAATTAATATTTAATATTTAAATACTAAAATAGAAAATTATTCTTGAAAGACTGTATTTTATTATATAAAACATTTTATTAAACATCTTTCTTATTTTACCATCCAAACATTGATTGAACGAATCGCGCAATAAAAAACCTTAATCTAGAAATGAATTTTCTTAGACGGCTAAAAGAGAACAAAAAGTTTAAGAATATTCGTTTCATGAAATCAAAAGGAAAGAATAAAAGAACTGCAATACAGAAAGAATGTGGATGAATAAGAAAACTTCAATTATAAAATCATCTCTTTTAATCTGAGCTTTTTATCTAACGACAATGGTTTACTGCAAACACTCTTTTTTCCATACAGTACCTTTGGGTATACTGTTTTTCTTTTAATTTTAAAATTATAATTAAAAACGTTTATAATAAAATATTAAAACTGATAACAAATTCATAAAAAAGGACAAGTTTGGTGAAATGTTAAACATATATTAGGAATATTCCCCAACACCAAAAAGTGCTAAAGGTACTTTTCGCTAACGATGTTGGCAACATCGTTGGCGAAAAGTACTTTTTGCACTTTGTGTTTTGTTTTAGTGTTGGGGAATATTTGATTGATAACAAAGTTAATACCTAAAATTATTTTGAAAAAGCGAAAAGAAAAATAAATAAATTTAATGATTCATTAAACCAATAATTTCAAATAATTACGAACATTTAGGTACTAATTTATTTAAAAAACTAGATAACATTAAAATTCCCAACGATAAACTCAATAATTTTGACTCATGCTTTGATTGTGAGTAAAATTCAAATAATTCGTAACTAATTATACATGTTTGCCATCAATTAAATTAAATGAACTGGTTAAAATTTAAAAAAATATATTAAAAATTAAATGCGTTTGCAAAAAATGGCATCAGTTTTAAAGTTTGTTAATTTCATATGAGCCTGCATTTTTCCGCAGGCGTGAGGCCAGAGATTGGCCCATCTGGACACCGGGAAAACTCCCTTCATTAATTAAATACTACAATCACAAGAGAAACAATTTAGAGACATCATAAAAACACAAAGAGAGCAAATATTGTTTTAATTTATTTTTAAAAATACAATTTTTTTGTCGAATGCGTTTTTCCGCGTGCATTATTGGTCTCAAAATTTCAACCAGGTTTTGGAACAAGGTGATATTAATTTTAGTACTTTAAGTGTAAGCGTATTGAATTTTTACCACTTCTAATATGCACATGGACCAGTTATATACATATGTATATATACATTTTTTTTAATATTTTTATTTTAGAAACATATATATATATATATATATATATATCGATGGTTATTTGACAAAACATCGTAAGCGACAATTTTGTTGAATTACTTTTTATTTTATCAAAGTGTCAGTTACGATAAGCTGCACATGTTAACATAATAGTTATTCCAATTTTGGAATCTAATATTGGTCAGTTTGAATATTTTTATTATTGTATGCGCCTCTTCTTTTTAATTTGTTACCGATTTATAACGTAAGCGCCTATATGTTCCTGACAAATAATCGTAAGCAACTTCGAGACATGGCGTTTGCGATTTAACATTGTGTCGCTTACGATAATATTGTGCTCCCGCTTTGATCTATCAACGCGTTATTCCCGCTCTAAACAGTTTATTCGTGAGTATACCTGCATCGTGGTGATTGCTACCACAATCCACAATGTGGATTGTGATTGCTACCAAGTTTTAAAACAATATTTTTTTTTATCAAAAGCTTATAATTCCTTTTTATCATTGCATTATTAATAGTTATCCTAATTATAATTGTTTTTACGTTAAAAGTGTTTTTTGTAGTAATTGTATGTTGTTATAACGTCAAATAATTTAACTTAAATTTATAACGGTTAGATGACGGCCAAAAAATTTCGAACGACCTGTCATTCAGTTGATTTCAAAATGTAAAACTGCCTTTAGTAACCACTAACCTTACTTTCTGAAAGTTGTCAGTTTGACGTATTTCATTGTTGATTGTGTTGTTTTAAGGTTAGATTCTCTGTCAACTTTTTGAAACTGCTTGTCATCTTGTCAAAAATGTCCCTAAAGGTTGGTTTGCACATTAAGTTCGGGCTCCTTGTGTAGGCTCCATGGGTTAGATACTGGTTTGTGAATAAAAATCGTTGGTTTTTTTCAAAGAAAACTAATGTAGATTTTCATTTTCTAACATTGTTTGGCAAAATATCGTTGGTGATATAAATTAATTTTTCTTACTACCTCGACTCAAAATACGTTGTTTCGTCCCCGATTTCACGGCAGAAAGTTTACGTTTCTTGCATTGGTCAAGCTGTACGCGCACACTCTAATAGCGGGAGTAAAAATTTTTTAGTCGTGTGCTTGACATTCAAATTTCGTACTGCCAACATGAGAAACACAAAAATATGACAGTTTTAAACCATAATTTTGCAATTATAACAACAAATAAACAATTTATGTTTTTACTTTTTTACTTTTTATGTTGTTTTAAGTGTTTAATGGTACTTTTATTTGTTATAAAGTAGTAATTTGTTAATTAAAATACAACCTTTTATTTTTACTGTATTGGCACCGCTGAATTACCATGACAACGCTACAGTTTGATTGATTTTGAATGTAAACGTCAGGATTAAATTAAACGTCAGATTTTAATTTTGACACAAGTTTTTTTATATACATTTAATTTTTTCCCGTATTTTCTGCAGGGTAGTAAGAAAAATAGTATACACTACACGGGCAGAAAGTGTGAGAGTCCTGAACTGCGCGCCATGATGCCCTCGGCTTCGCCTCGGGCATCATGGCGCGCAGTGCAGGAATCTCACACTTTCTGCCCTTGTAGTGTAATATACTATTTTTGTAATTATTTTTTATTTAATAATAAAACTAAAAAATAAATGTCACTAACAATGTTTTTAAAAGTAATCATCAAATCTATATCCCACAAAGTATCGTAAATGTAACTTAAGCGACAAGACTATTTTTACATTTTCCTAAAGATGTTCTTATAAAATATCGTATGCCACAAAATTTAACAAAATTTAGATTGGATTCGATCTAACTTAAATATTTTAATTCTATATTAATAAAATAATGCCTCACCAGTTTTCAGATAAATAACTTTAAAAATAAAGCTCCCACACAAAAAAAATCTCTCCTGTAAAATTTAGGTTTTGTCGCTTACGATGTTTTGTCAAATAACCATCGATATATATATATATATATATATATATATATATATATATATATATATATATATATATATATTGAATATGAATTTCCTGTAATGGTTTTATTGTTGGGCAATAAAGATCTATTATTATTATTGGGTTCTCAAACGGGCCACCTGAATTAAGTCAAAATTAATTTTTGATTGTAGATACATTTTTTCGATAGTATTTTACATCACAAATCCAGAAGGATTTTGTAAAAAAAATGTTGTCAATGATATATAACATTTAAAGTTTTTACACTGAAATAAATGTTTCTATAAACCAGTATTGTTAATAAGACGAGTTTCATAAAGACAATAAGAGAATGCTTAGTTAAAATCATATTCCTTTATGAAGATTTAATAAGCGGTGTAGTACTACGTAACTGTTATAATTTTGATTTTATTCCAGTTGTTTAATACTGGCTATAATCTAGAGTAAGGTTCCAGCACTTGACAAGGCATGACCCAATGAGCAGCGAGAGTTCTTAAAACGTAAAAGTTTAAAGTTTAAAACCAACAAATAATTTTTTAAAAGTGCAAACTAAAATAGTGTAACAGTCAATAAAGAGAGAAGTGTTAAGTGATAAAAAAGAGTTAAGTGACAAGTTACAGCTTCTGGTCCTATAGGTATACCACATATCATTGGACGCTTTTCACTAGACAAACAAAAGAGGTCAAACAAGAGGGGAAGTGGCCATCCGCAAAAAAGTTGATAAGTATCCTTAAGCATATGCATGACCTAACACATAATTTGCAAATTAAACACGACAGATATCTTTAAAACCCTAAGGCACACTGCTTAAACTCTGGAAAAAAAAAACAATAAACATCAGTAACAATAGAAACATTAGAAAGACAATACTAACCAAACACCATAAAATAAAGAAGAAAAAAACAAAAAAACAAAACTTCCCAAAGGTGGTACACCAAAGCTGTGTAGAACAATAAATCTATCAACATGATACCCAAACGAGACCAATAATAACCATTTGACACACAGTATATAAATAAAGATTTGTAAACACATTAGATTATAACAGAATAATTTCGCTTGTCATTTGTTTAACTAATAAATAAATGCAATACTTAATTTAAAAAAAAGACAAAACTCTACCACAAAACGTGCTTGGGCAACACAATAACTAAAAAAATTGTTAGAAATTTCGCACTACTGTGGCAATAAACAATTAAAAAAACATCAAAAGCTACAAGTTACATATCCAGCTACTGAACTATCTAATGATGGTTTCTGGCCTCAAGACTGAAGACACATGTGCAGGAACAATCTTACTTGGACACGAACAATAACGACAAAAACTTAGACCAAGACGTAGGCTCCTGTAGCAAAATAACAACTCCCGAACTCCATACAGTAATCCCAAATGTTTGGAGTAATACTAACTGCCTAGTCTTGGGGGAACCGCGTCGTACTTGGATTTAAGTCAGCGTAATTGTCCCCCAAACACCAAACTGTCTATCCATCCCGTCCTACCTCCTTCATGACCCTACTGGACGTATAGCATCGGCTCGGCGAACCCAGGAATGGCTACTGAAGCTATTGGCATTTTGCTCACGAGCCCTAATTAGGGGACAGTACGGGACGCAATGGACATTCGCAACCAGCAAACACGGGTGAAGCCACGCCGTTTCTGGTAGCGAAAGAAAATCGGCGCAAGGAAACAGAGGCCTATGCGGGGCCCGGGAGCGATGAGGCAATGGGGCCGGTTATACGTCTCTTATACTCATACTCATACTCAATACTGGCTATAATCTAGATGCATATTGTTTATGAAATGTTTTCTTGCAGATATCATTTATTTTAATTTATAATTTTTTGTATCAGAACTATACTATACTG